TGCAGTCAGCAGATTTGGAATGAGTGTATATTTTCAAAAATAAATTAAATTCTCAAAGTAAAACACCAAATAATGTGTTAATAATGTGTTGTCAATATAGTGCAGGGTGAACAGAATTTTCAAATGAATCTTTTTTGTTTGTTTGTTTTTGCATTTTCCATACTGTCCCAACTTTTTCAGAATTGGGGTTGTTAATAACAGGAAGCTGAAGCTCTCTTCTAATATCCATGCGTTGACGTCAAACACAGTAAAAACCATAGAACTGGCCTTACAGTTCCAATAGTTTTGCAGGGGACTGTAATCAGGAAATAGCTTGCACACACACCTTATACTCTGAATGCAAGTGTTAGTTTAAATTCCATGATTTGGTGGCAGGACAAAAAGATTAATTAAAAGCATGAACATGTGAATAATTATTAGTGACATTAGGCTACGTTTAGCTGACGGAACACGAGCTGAATGGCGATGCATGGTGGCCCATTCGGAGGTAGTTTATAACACTGCAATGCATTAGCATCGTTAACAAAAAACTTTGTATCACTAACATTACATGGAGCATAACATTAGCTGGTCTCAAGACCACAATGCCAGCTGCCTCAAACAAACATAATATAGGGCCGTCTTTCAGGTGCTTCACCAAATTCGAAGTGTTTCCTCGCTTTGTTTGAAATGAATGATAGCATCGGCTGCATCCCAGCTTCAGAGCATCAATTATGTTTGATGTCATCCACCTCGAATGCGAAGTATTTCCATATTCCATACCACATTTCCTCTCAACGAGTCCTGGTGGAACTAAACTTCTGTAGTTTTTCCCATGTGCTTGTAGGCACTGTTCTTCTTCTTCACCACTTGTGGACCGACTAAAACATGTGTGCGTATTTGCTGCCCCCATCAGGTCCGGAAGAATTGCAACCTTGGTACACCCATTAGAATAGGTTCCAACACTACTCCAGAAAAACAAGTACCGTCACATTTTAAGAATATTGGTACCGACTTGGTTCTCGTGACATCCCTACTACATCCCTGTCCTTAAATAAAATGGTAAATCATTTTGCAGTAGATTCTTTACATTATCTCTTTCCTTAAAAACCCTTCTGTGTATATGTTGTACATCTCAGACCTCTTGAGAAGGCACAAAGAGAGAGAGAGAGAGAGAGAGAGAGGGGCTGTCAAGGTGTCAAGGCGATCGATTAAGATTCTTGGTGTTCACTGAACTCATTCAACACATCACACCACTTAATATATCAATACTGTATAGACCTGACAATGACATCATCCTAATAACATAAAGCCTGTCCAGTTGGTTTGCCCATAATGCCTGATGAACCATCCCGGGCCATGAACTTGTTTCAGATAACCCATGATGCCAGCCTTTTGTTTATCAGTAATAAAGTGTAAGTTTTTTGGTATACCTTTTTCAAGAGACCATGCTTATTGCTAGATAAATAGAGAACCAAGAGGAGACAAGCATTGGCTTTCCATAAAGGGAGGTGGGCAAAAAATCAATACAAGGTTCAGTGTAGCTGATGAAAAGCCCACACAGGATGATAGTTGCTGTGGATTTTTAATCGACTGTTGTGTCGACTGACCTGGCTTTTAAATACAATATACAAGCTCATGATTGATGTCCATACAAATAGCTAAGTGCGTTTATTGCTTATTATGACTAGCAATATTGGAGTGTTTATTCAGTCAGAGAGGCTGATGAGCTTTGAGGATCTGGGTTTTGTTGTAAATAAAATCATCCCCGCTTTGTTATATTTGTCATTCAGCTTTGTTTTGTGTATTTGGTAAATGCCAGGTGTTCTCATCATAATTTCAAATTTCGCAGTTGAAGATGAATCCGGCTGTTTCTCATCTGAAATCAGAACGATCACTGATCTAGCCGATACAATGGCATCCAGGGTGTATTTAGTTTTGCACCGAGTGAGAAAGAACGCAAATATCTTTTTCTATTAGTATTATTGCATACGTATAATAAAAATTACAGTGTAAAGGCACAGTGTTACATTGTTTAATTGCATGATTTGACTGGGAAATATGAATGAATCTTTTTGTGTTGATTCCCAGTTGATTCTTTATATGATTCATGTCAGTTGTTTGATTCATTGTGGCTAGAAATATTATGAGAATAGTAAGAGATGAAAGGGAAGAACTTGAGACATCATACATGCAAACACACACACACACACACACACACACACACATTCTCTCTCTCACTTGAGTTCGGGGCTCCTCTGAGACTGATTTCGAGACATTCTGGCCAACTGGACCACGCAAGGTCAGGACCAGAGCTTGGCATGACTCGGCGGACTGGCACAGTTCATTTGGTCCTCCAGTTTCCATGGCAACGGGCTGTGTGTGTGTTTTGAATGTTTGCTGGGTGGAGCGAGAGCAGGAGTGTGTGTTTGTTGTGCTCTTCACAGTGCAGCTTTAAGTGTAATTTGGATTCTTTCCGATTGAAGGCAACAGTTATTACAATGTGAGAGGATCCTTTGCGCTCCTGCGAAAGACAGCAAGAGAAAGAAAGTGAGAAAGAGTGAGAGCGTGGAGAGGGGGGTGCTTAAGGGCAGATGGAAACAGTACATAAGGGTTACTTCACCATCCTGTAAACAGATGCTGCACCGTCTGAGTGGGACGTTGTGCCTCCTGAGCATTGTTCAGTGTTCCTCTTAATCTTTGTCACAGGTAGTAAGTCCCGCGTACCAGCCGCATAGAGAATTCCTTGTTCGACGTTGCTTTTTTTCTCCCAATTTCCATCCCTTTCTTTATCAGCATCTCTCTATTGACTGAGAAAAATAAGTGCAAATTACTCATTGAGTCTCCAGCTGTGTGAGCTCTAGTGAGAATTGAGCTGACAGAACCAGATGCTGGCAGCGTAGCACTCCTCTTTCTCTTTCTCTCCTGAGACTGCATGGCTGCAGCAGTGCTTTTAATCAAACTGCCAACCTGGACGGCAGAAGGGACGTCTTTTTCATCCTCATCCTCGTATTATTGTGGTCATTTTGATTAGACTCCATCTGGAATATGTTCCTTTCTTGAGTCACTTGAGAAAGACATCAGTGTTGAGAAGGAGTTGCGCTATGAAGAGTATGAGAATGGATATTTATGTATAAATAATACATAGTATTATCACCTAAATAAGTGCTGTAGCATGTATAGGAGCTAATGTTTGAAATATTTGAAATTATACCACATCGCATTTGAATTCTCATAGATCTGACCTAATCTGATGATTAATTCAGAGGGACTTATATCATGGATGCTTCACATAATCATAAAGCCTAAATCATAATTCAATTTCTAAAAGTGTTGCAATTTAACAATGACAAATGGTGTAGGTGTCTGTAAGAATATGTTTATTTATCATTTATGGAAGGAGTCTCGAGTGTCAGTGCTTTGTAACAGTAAGTTTTCCACCACAGGAAAGGCTTCAGACTTTCCAGTTTCTCGGTATCATGAGAAGCTGAGAATTTTCTCAGTTTATAATCTTAAACAGAGAGAAAAAACAGAGATGTTGATGAGGGAAGGTTGATTTATACAGTAGCTGCGATAATGTAAGTCAAAACAGAAAGTAATTTCTTTCACTGAACTTCTACAGCATTAAATTAAATCTAATAATTGCTGGGTTATAAGAGGAATAAAAAATTCAGGACAGGCTTTTATTGAAAAATAATCCATTTGTGGTGGGAACAGTAACTCTGCTGTGCATCAGGCATCACACTACCATACTTTTGATTATTTTCCCATAACAGCCCACTCACGTCATGTTTTATTCCTTACATATAGCTAGATGAATGAAAACACACAACATGGCACAGCAGCAAAGGAATATGGAACGAAATATGGAAATTATGCACAACTCAAGGTATTTCTATATTTATTTCTAATTTTGAAACGACTTGAACCTTCTGTTAATCTTGTAAAATGTCTCATTGGAAATATGGTTCGCTGCTGAAACCAGGAGCATCAATCAGACAATGCAATCTCGCCGGTTCTGCCTGGAGAGCAACGCCGTTTGTTACTTGTTTTATTGCAGTGTCTCTTATTGTTCTTTTCCTGTTCTGATGATAATTCAGAGTCTAGCATTAAAACATTTCTTATACCTTGTTCTGATTTCAAAATGTCCATGGGAACATAGAAAATGACAGTGATATAGGTATATTCATTCATGAACGTGCTTCAATTTAGCTGAAAGTTAGCCAAAGGTACAAAGCATAAAAAAAAAAAGATCTCTTAGCAAGTGAAAGCATCTTGAATAAGGACGAATATGTCTTTGATGTTATATTATTATAAATCATATACAAGAATATTGAGCTTGGTTTAAAATGTTTTTACTCATTTCAAACTTTAAATAATCTATTATTGCTTTTTTCTTGAAATAAATGCTTAGAATTAGGAAAATGATCTGGGGTGATGGTGGGTTAAGCAGAAAGTATGCCTCACTTCTTACGCATATGCTAGGAACAGCGTACAGTATGTGTGACGTAAATTTTGTCATCAGCAGAGTACACGCTGCCCGATTTTTCTAACCGGGTCCCATATGCGCATTTAATTATTTTGCACTATTTCGTTGTTCCACAAGGTGGCAACAGTGACCCAGGGCCGATGATTCTCAAGGAAGTTAAAGAAAAAAACAGAATAAATGGAAGAGATGGAAGGGTAGGGTAGAAAGGTGCAGGGTAGAAAGTACCTGCATTTGTATAATTCTAGCCTTAAAGAGTATAAGGATTTGTATATGGATGCTAATCGTGGCAGGAGATTGCCTAAGCATTGTTTTTCGTGTTGTTGTGATTCTTCTTTGTTGTCGTCCTTCACATCAAAAGACTTGCTTTGCTGCTCTGCACTGACTCTTGTAGGCCAGGAGGGGTAGTGCAAGGTGTCATAATGTGCATGTGCTGACTGCCTGTGTACACGTACATGTCAAATGGAGTATACTTTGAAAACCTACATGTATGACTGTGCACATACGCTAGCGTACAGGTAAATAAACGAAGTATACCAGAGGCTTTAGTGGTTAGCATGTTGGCCTCACACCTCTGTGGTTGGGGGCTCGAATCCCTCCTCTGGCCTGTGTTCATTCGGCTTGCATGCTTTTCCTGTGCTTCTGGGGTTTCTTCTGGGTACTCTGGTTTCCCAGTCCCCAGTCTGTTACATGCATTGTAGGCTGATTGGAATTTCCAAATTGTCCATAGTGTGTGAATGGGTGTGTGAGTGTGTGATGTGTGTGATTGTTCGCCTGAGTCCCATCCAGGTTGTCTCCCACCTTGTGCCCCGAGTTCTCTGGGATAGGCTCCAGGTTCCCCTGCGACCTTGTGTAGGATAAGCAGTACCTAAAATGGATGGATGGATTTGCCAACAGAACAAGACTATTTCAAGCTTGAAATTAGTTTTAAAAAATATATCATAGAAATATGTCTAATAATCTTAAATTTGGTTTATGGGAATCTTATAATAGGAAATACTAGATAAATATAAGTATGTTTAAGACATGAGCGCACAGTGGCTTAGTGGTTAGCATGTTTGCCTCACACCTCCAGGGTTGAGGGTTCGATTCCCATCATGGCCCTGTGTGTGTATGTTCTCCCAGGGGGTTTCCTTCCCCAGTCCAAAGATCTATATGGTAGACTAATTAACAAAAAGTGTTCATAGTGTGTGAGTGTACCCTTTCATGGATTAGCACCCCGTCCTTGGGCGTATCCCTGAGATAGGTTCCTCGTGACCCTGTAAGTTAAGTGGTATAGAAAATGTATGGATGTTTAAGACATTTTCACTTACTAAGAATTCTTTTTTTTTGCAGTGTATGAATTGTATTTGTTTGTTTGTTTGTTTGTTTGTTTTCATCTGTAAAAATGCGTCAGTTGTATGAATGCACTATGTCTGGATCTTAAAACCATGAAGGTTACATGACAGTCACGCTTGTTGCCTTTTGGGGCCCGTGACACACTTATTGAAGCCGGGAGAGTGAGAATCGCCCTGCCACTGAGTTTCATTACCATAATACCCGCTCACCTCGCCACCCCCATCTCTCCAGAGCCCTGTTATCCGCGCGGTGTTATCCGCACTCAGTGCGTAAGCAGAATCGGGCTTTAGCCCACACAAGCTGTAGATATACAGCACTGGAATCCTGCTGACTGTGTTATCCTGGGTTTAATAGCATCAACTACAAAAATCCAACAAACAAAAATGTTTTCTTAAAATAAATACATCACTGCTTTAAAAAGAAAAGCAATGCAATGTCTGCTGAAGAAATAATTAGGATATACTCGATAAGTATTTACTTCCACTATTTCCATTTCTTGCTTAACTTACCAACACCCTTACTGATATGAAAGTGAAATAATCATTCCGCTAACACAGAGAAACTTTTATGCTTCTCCAGTTTCCAAGTTTGGTGCAAAGGTGAGCAGTGCGTTATCCGAAAAATGAGGCAGCTGAGCCTACAGGGGCCCTTAAATGGCTGTTAAAGCTCTTTAAATGAGCAAAGAGAATGAAATCCTGTGAGCGCGACAGGCTAAAGACAAATCTGATAAGAGTCTAGGTCTCTTTAGTGCTCTTGGAAGATTAGAGCTTAGCAGATAAAGCAATATGTGGAAAAGGGGCTGTTTCTCTTCATAGCACTAATGGATAGAGCTGAAATTCAGGAAATGGAGAATGGTCTTAGTGCACATCTGTACACCATACAGTAGTCATTTTAAACACATGAAACCCGTATGTGCTTCTTCTTTCCACACACCAAACCCAGATTCTCTTTTCTGTTTTGTTAAATTGCTTTTCGAGGTACCTCTTTAATCGAAGCTTTTCCAGCCCTTAATTATCCATTCACAAAAGATATCTAATCCTAAATGCTCCTCCTTTCGACTCGACAATTGGTAAATTAACCTAAATTACGGCATTCATCATCTAGAAGAGGTGAGTTTATCTCTTTAAAAAGGAGACGGAATGTTTAAGTCCTGAATAAAACGATGGCAGGAGAGGAATATTTGCATGTTAGAGAATTTCTTGTTCATGATAAAGTAGCACTGACTTACCTAACTATGAACCTTTCTTAAAACTTTTCTTTTATTAAATATGTTTCACATTTAAGGCATAAAGCTCAGTGCACTCTTTTCAGAAGCAATTTGAAAAGCATTTGAAAATGTATTTTTTTTTAAATACTTCTGTTTTTTTGTATTTCTAGTTTAATTATATTTTTATTTCATTATTTTAAAATTCTTTGAATTACTTTATTATGTTTTTTATTTATTTTACTATACACAGTTTTTTTTTACTTAATTGTACAGCAGTTTGAGATGTATGAGAAGTGCTCTGTAAATAATATTTATAATAATAATAATAATTATTATTAGTATTAGTAGTAGTAGTAGTAGTAGTAGTATTTTTAATTAATGAGGCATGATGATCATTTATTTATATATATTGTTTTCTTATTTCTTATTTTCTTATTATTATTTATGTTTGTTTGTTTGTTTGTACATTTATTTATTTATTTATTTTTGTTAATACCATATTTTCTAATCGAATTTTCTGAAACAAACAAATGGCAACTAAAAAAGTGGTAACTATTCTTGAGCCGCCAGATTGTGCAGAATTGCACTGTTAATTGCAAACAAAAAACAAACCCTGTGCTTGTTTTTGTAATTTGTTGGTCATATTTTTGTAATATATTTTGATTTGATTGTTATTTCATTTGGACTGGAAGCATTTCACCAACCAATACTAATGTTTTTGACAACCCTGAATGTGTGTTAGAGAAGTCTAGAGGGTGTCTGAAAAATCAGAAACCAAAGACCGTACCAAGAAGTACCAAGAAGCTCTATTTCTACCCTTTCATCCAATGTTAATGCCATTTTCACCTGTAAAGTAAAAATAAATATAAAAATACCTGCAAGTAAATATATAATAAATACAAAATCACGTATATGTAGTTTTACTACCATTGGTTCCAGACTTTTTGGACACGCTTCCGTTTTTTCTGCACTGTACATGGACACCGTTTTCACACACATCATCTTTCCCTGCATTCCCTGATCCACACTGCGGGTGTATAAACTTTCACATTCACATGCCTCCTCTACAATGCTGAAATAGCACGGCATGCCTCTTGCTATGAAAATTCTTATTTTTGATTATCATATAGTTTTTCTTTCTTTTAATTAAAAAGGTAATACATGAATCCATGTTATTACTATCTAAACACATTTGGTGTTACAGTGTTACAGTCAAAATGCTAAAATTGGAGCTGGCATTTAACATCTGCTGAACATGGAGACAATATTACAAGTGAATTAGACAAGTTGAGTTAGGAGGCTCACTACAAAAACCTGGTAACTGATGCCTGACTAAAAAAAAACTGTACTATTCAAACAAAAGCTTTTGTAACAAAAAATGTTTTATTATTCAAAAGATTCTAGCACTATACTGAGGATTAACACTAGCGAATACAGCATGTAATATACAGTATCTACAGCTCATGCTAGCAACAAATAGATAGCTACTGTATTTGTTTTTAATATTACCAAACATTAAGTGACAAAAACTATATACATACACTTTAAGATGATGTGTTTTAAGATTTTTAAAGCATGTTGACCATGAAGACACTATAACAAGTGAATTCCACAGGAGTTAGCAGGCAACTCCGAGCCCTCTGACCCCTATCTATACTACTCTAACTGTTGTGTTTTGTTCTATTACTGTTCAAGACTATGGCATTATGTATCCTGAAAGTTAATACTCGTTAATATTTAATGTGCAGCAACCAGAGCTAATGCTAGCAAAATTTAAACAGCAAACACAAATCAGGAGCTACAGTGCAGTAAAGAGCATATTGAGTACTATCTATATTATTCTAAATAAGGTTGTTTTTTTAATTGTTCAAAAGACTGTAGCTCTATTTTAAGAGTTAGCACTAGCTAATATTCAGTATCCAGAGCTAATTTTTAGCAACGAACAGAAAGCTATTTTCAGTGCCACAAATGATGTAAATATTATATGATTAACAATTTATACTAGGAAATTATTTGAAAACAACACAGTACCTTAGGTGTATAAACTTTTGAAGAGGATGATTATTGTAATTTCATATTAGTTTGTTTAAAGATCTTTTTTTTTTTTTCAATTATCCTGATATCATGTTGCCTTCTTGAGCATCAGTGAATGTTTGCACCTTTTATAATAGTTGTGTATGAGTCCTTCAAATATAGTCGCTGTTGGAAAGGGGTCAAATATGCAGAAGATGCTGGAAAAGCAAAGAATGTGCAGGACCTGTAGGATTTTTCTGAGGAACAATGGGCAGTTTAATTGCTCAGGACAAACAAGGGACTCATGAAGAACTCTCACAGAACATATAAACAATCGTTGATCATCCAGGTTATGACACAGTATTAATAATCAAGCGTATGTAAACTTTTGAACTGGTTAATTTGTGAAAATTCAGTTATTACTATTTCATCTGTCTATCTATCTATCTATCTATCTATCTACAGTACACCTGGTTTTCAATTTTTCTATTATGTTTTTGACCCCGTGTGTCCTGAATTTCTGATTAAACCAAAACCTCAGACAGCATTCAACTGTAAATGTGCCCCTTTTTTTGGAGTGCAGCACTACTGAGTTTATATGTTCAGCATGCAGTTCATTTAGCATCTGAACTCGCTTTCATGACTCTTTCAGTCTCCATTGCTTCCTTTTATAAACTGCACAGGTCATTTAACAGTAGGCTACATCAAGGCTCAGTGCTGTTGGAGTCAAATGCATCAAACCTTAGCTTCCAAGCCGAGTAAGCAATGGAAATTGAGTGAAACAACAGAGAGGGATAGAGAGGAGATAGGGCTGGAGATAAAAGATGCAGGATTGGATTCTTTAGCACCACCAGACACCAGTAATGAGGATGAAGAGTCAATCTAGAGCTACTGCGTCTTGTCAGAGGCAGACGGCTCTTCTGGTAATGGCTTGTTAGAAAGCAGTACAATGTCAGGACTATGAATAAAGGTGCAAACATGACAGCAGGGTCCCATTTGTCAAAGCACAGTGATATGCAGCCTCCTGAAGACAGCCACAGAAATACGGA